TGTGTGTGTGTGTGTGTGTTTTCACGAATCTCTGTCTTCTAGTTGGGATGTTTAATCCCCATTCAGCCGGGGTTGGCCCTAACGTTGAGTAGAATCACCTATCCTGCCAAACAAGTATGACGATGGGAGTGCAATATACTTACATGTATATTAAAATTTAATCAATCAGTCAGTTAGAGCTTGAGAAAAGTTGGAGTCCGAAAATTGAAATTACGAAGACATACCAAGAGATACAACGATTAATAATTTAGAAAACAGAAATCTAAGGTAAACTTTTCTCTCTGTTTACTTTTAAAGATATTTTTGTTAAAATATACTTTCTGCCTTTCTGTGAAGAAGTGGTGGAAAGAGAGTACAAAGTATCGAGAAAGTTCATGAGATTTTTTTTTTATTTGAAACCCCAAAAGTAGACTAAACCTGTACTAATTAATGTAACCGGAAAAAAACATTTATTGCCAATAAAATCTAATGCCATTAAAATACCACAACAATATTATTATTTAATACTACACTATTAAAATTCTTTGATGCTGAGAGAATGCAACCCACTGACGACAGTAAACAGTTTCTTGCTAAAAGCTCTGTGCCTTTCTCTCTAATACCAACACAAAACCTCTATAAAAGCAATGGTTAGAGGTGATAAAAATGTTTTATCACTACGGGTCTAGAAAGCTGTAATAATCTTTAAGTGCCTGTTCGTAAACGTCGGTTCACCGAACAAGTTAAAGGTGTTTGTTTAGAAAATTCTCGTTTTATGTTTGTAAATCTACGTGTTTTTAGTTCCAGACAGGTTTTCTTTTGGCGTACAACGAAGATAAACGTGTTGCTGACGTGTGGAAATGTAACTGAAAATGTTTTGCGCCCCTTTCGACACAATGCAGATCTTTTGGGAGGCGCGCTGCTTCTACCCCGTCTGTCAGGATCAAACCGGACTGAGACAGATACAACGTCCCAGCTGACTGACGGAGATATTTGGTTTTTAAATACATACACGTATATTTTCTAACTTTTTAGTTTTCTTTTGGCGTCGTAGAAAGATTTCGACGTGAACTTCTGGCAAATTTCCTTAAATATCGTTTAGATGTGAGTTCTTGATAGCAATTTTATTTTGCCGAGACCGTGAAAAAAATGCCAAATGCCTCGTGTCTACAGGGGAATGCAGACGTTTTAAGGATGGGTGTGGATGTTTCATTAGGCTTCACGAATTAGAAATTTTGAAGCCAAGAGAGAAGCCCGCAAGCTGCACACGTCAACAAATAAAAATGAAGATCTTTTAAATGCTAAAGATGCGGCAAACTCTTCTCTTCCAGAATTGGTCTCATTGGCCATAGAAGACGCAACAAATCATCTTATTCCGTAGTCATTCTATTTCTTTAAAAGACCGTCTCTTCTGCGGATACGTTGGTCATAGTCACACATTGATTAACGAATAGTCTTATTACTAACCTCGTTGCAAAATCCTAGTCCAAAGAACTAGATCTAGATGATATTGTAAGTACAATTGAAAACATCACGAACTGTATAGAAATATTTTTCTCTCAACTGTTTCAAATTTGTCGAGTATTTTCTCTTTTTCTATGTCTGTCTTTCTGATCCACTTTTTTTTCAATCAGCCCCTGCTTCTCTATTTTCATTCCTCTCTCTTATCCCGTCAATCACTCAATATACCCCAACCATTACGTGCGCCTAATTCTCCGGCGTCGTGATAAAATACATATATATACGGCTCGGTGTCTACCACTAGACCACAGACTATGGTAGATAAATATACTTTGCTTGCTAGAGTGTGTGTGTGTGTGTGTGTGTGTGTGTAGAGTGTGTGTGTGTGTGTGTGTGTGTGTGTGTGTGTGTGTGTGTGTGTGTGTGTGTGCACGCGTGCATAAGTGGGTGCATGGGTATAGGAGAAGAAGAAGAAGAAGAAGAAGAAGAAGAAGAAGAAGAAGAAGAAGAAGAAGAAGAAGAAGAAGAAGAAGAAGAAGAAGAAGAAGAAGACAAAAGTGGTATATTGCAGCTATTGACTAAACACGAGATGTGAATGCCCCAATCATATATATGAAGAACCAAGTGAATGACATATATCTATTCTCTCCTGCAAGAGACACATCTATCAAAGTGACGGATATGGACAGATTAACAGCGCCGCCAAAAGAACGTGTTCCCGTCTTTTGGGAATATCAGAGCAAGATGAATGGAGAATTCTTCGCTTTGTCCAGCTCCAGTACATGAGCTCTGGGAATCGGCGTCTCTGGTGGAACAGTTATACCCGGTGCACACTGCGAATCGGATTCATCGTACTGAATCGGGGCCTGCTAGATTGTCCATCATGGACTGAACAAAGACTACCATTTTGGCACAATACGATTGATTCGACAAGCGATCTTCAGGAACAAACGCGTTCGATTGAGAAAGACATATTCAAATTTCTTTGAATTCAGTCGCATTGTGCCAAAATAGTAGTAGGTTTTGCCCCATCCACAAAGGAAAAATCTGGCTGGTCACAGCTTGATCCCATGAGTCCGATTGACAGTAAGTACTGGGCATTGTGCTCTTTCCTGTTACACAAAAGACGACAGTTCAATTCTTGAGCTTGTCTCTGAAGCACGTGTTTAACTGGCGTCGGTGGTGCAAGGGTTAGGTTGTTGTTTTTTTACGTCATACGCAGTACATGAGCTCAGGGAATCGGCGTATGTGTAGAAACGGTAATACCTGGTGCACACTGCGAATCGGATTCATCTTACTGAATCAGGGCCAGCTAGATTGTCCTTCATGGACTGGACAAAGGCTACCATTTTGGTACAACCCGACTGATTCGACTGGCGATCGTTAAATTTTTTATTTTTTTTAAACCGCGTTCGATTTAGAAGGACACTGTCGAAATTCTTTGAATTCAGTCGTACTGTGCCAAGATAGCAGTGGCTGCTTCCCCATCTATCAAGAAAAAAACCCTGGTTGGTCACTCAATCCAATGAATCCGATTGGCAGGCGGCACAGGGTATTATGCTCTTCCCTGTTATAAATAAGACGAGAGTTCAATTCTTGAGCTTGTCTTTGAATTGCATGTTTTACTGGCGTAGGTGGTGCAAGAGTTAGACTTTTTGACGTCATACGCAGAAAACACGAGTTGGATTTCTACGACGAGGAGATAACATTTCCTTTTATGGCTTTTAAATTTTTAAATTTTTCTTTTAAACGTGTGTGTGTGGAATTGTTTGTGTGTGTGTGTGTGTGTGTGCGTGTGTGTGTGT